ATATATATAAGTGGTTACGACTGCGTGCCATTGAGAAAGGTTTTGTTGTAGGAGAGAAGTATATTAACGTTAAGGAGAAAAAAGTGAGTAAAAACACTAAATACGTATGTTTAGAACTTCAAATGAACTTAAATAATTTTATGACTTAATTGCTTTGGTTAGATTCACATTAGACCTGGTAAACCAAAACATATAGTGAGGGTGAATTGGGAACGTTAGGCAGAACCCCCTGTCTGCATGATCTTCAACTCTCACCTCTGGGAGAATTTTTCACATCTCCCAGAGGAGGTTGGAGACATGGAATCCAAATGGGCCAAGTTCAGGGGCTCTATTACATATGCAGCTTCCAGGAACTGTGGCCTGAAGGTGCCTGTCGTAGTGGCAACCAAAGGACCCAGCAGTGATAGAGGCTGTCAAGCTGAAAAAGGAGGCCTTCTGGACTTGGCTTTCCTGGAGAACTCCTAAAACAGCTGACAGGTTGTAAAGAAGTTAGCGGCTTTGGTAACTGCAGATGCAAAAACTCAGGCATGGGAGAAATTCAGGGAGTCCAAGGAAAAGGACTTTTGGTTGGCCTCAAGGAGGTTCTGGCAAACCATTCAGTGTCTCAGAAAAAGAAATTGTTCCCTGTCCCATACTGTACTTGGTTTGGGTGGGGAACTGCAGACACTGGCTGTGGATATTGTTGACTGATGGAAGGAACATTTCGAGGATCACCTCACTTCAACCTCCATGTCCACCTTTGAGCGTGTCCACCTTTGACGAGTCTGAAGACTAATTTATTTAATCAGGACAGTGAACATTGATGAACAATCTTATACTTCTGTATAGACTGTAAATGAGCCAGATTATAATATAGTTGCTAATTAGTTCTGAGATTCAGAGGAAGAAGAGTCCATTACCATGGCAGAGGTCACCAAGGTAGTCTAAAAGCTTCTCGGGGAAAGGACTTCTGGGGTGGATGAGATTCCCTAAGAGCACTCCAGTTGTATAGAACCTCCTTGCTTCTATCCTAGGCGTGGAACAGTGGACCAGATCTTTACCCTTACAGATTTGCTGGGGGGTCATGAAAGTTTACCTCTCCAATCTACATGTGTTTTGTGGACCTGAAGAATACTTATAACCATGCTCCTCGAGAGTTTCTGTTGGTGATGCTGCAGGAGTATGGAATGTCTGGGTTGTTACTAAGAGCAATCCAGTCCCTGGATAACCAAAGCAGCAGCTGTGTCCGCATGCTTCGCACCAAGTTGAGCTTGTTCTCAGAGCATGTTGGACTATGCCAGGGCTGTCCCTTGTCTCCGATCCTGTTTGTAGTGTTTATGCACAGGATCTCAAGGTGCAGTCATGGAGAGAATGGTTTCTGGTTTGGGAACCACATGGTCTTGTCTCTGCTATATGCAGATGATGTGCTTCTGTTGGCGTCTTTGGGGCAGGACCTTCAGCGTGCACTGGGGCGGTGAGCAGCCAAATGAGAAGCGGGTGGGATGAAAGTCAGTTCCTCTAAAGCCTGAAACATACCGCCTCTGACGCCGACGGGTCGACGTGCGGTCACGTGGTTGTTCGGCATTTGTTTTCGCACACACCTTTCATAGTCCCTGAAACACCCCGCGCCGAGCTCGGGAACCCCTTCCCTCTGCAGCGTACATCACTGCACGGAGTTTCTCCCAGCTACTGCTGACAACGCAGAAAAAAAGTCTGACTCGTCACTCACCCGACGTATTTATCCACATCTGTCCTGGTTAAGACTCCACAGTTTTTATCAGTCAGATTCCTCCGTGCACAACGTCTGTTTAATCTCCATTCATGAGTTTTTCACAGTTTGACTATCTTTATAAAACCCTGTTATCTGGTAACAGTCAGTTCTGGGAGCGAGGCATTTATTTATTTATTTTTTATTTTACCAAGTGGAACTGTCCGAGCGCTTTCAGCACAAACAAGCATGCCCACAAACTTCAGACCAATCACACATTACCGTCATTGCGGGAGGGGGGTAAAAAGTTCTGTCGGCGGGTTGTACCAAAAGGGGCTGCCGAGCCGATGCTGCGAAGCCTGGTGATGTAATTTTCGTCATGAAACTGCGACAACCAGTGCCAACGTTGGCAGTTCGGAGGGAGTATGTTTCCAGCTTAAGTCTGAGTCTCATGGTTCTCTATCAGAAAAGGGTGGAATGACCCCACCAGGTCAGGGGAGAGTCTATGCCTTAAGTGGAGGAGTTGAAGTATTTCAGTGTCTTGTTTATGATGTAGCAGGAGATGGATCGCTGGATTGGGGCTTCATCCTCATTAATGAAGGCATTGCTTCTGTTGGTCGTGGTGAACAAAGAGCTGAGTCGAAAGGCAAAACTCATTTAACCACTGACAAATGTAGAATATTCGACTCATTCAAAGACTTACTCAGCGTCATCGTGGAGATACAAAATTAAAGCATTAGTCTTACAATGCTAATTTGAGACTTTCAAAGATGCTTTACAATTTCATGCACCATTTATTTACACACAGAGGATGGTAAACTACAATGTAGCAACAACTGCCCTGGGGCAGACTGACAGAGGGAGGGCTGTCAAGCTGCACAACCGGTCCCTTTGAGCACCATCACTAGGCAAAGCGGATGAAGTGTCTTGCCCAAGGACACGATGACTGAGACAGCTGAAACAGGGAATTGATTTGGCAAACCAGTGGTTACAGGACAACTAACCCTAACCAATTTGCCACAACTGCCCCCTTTCTTTCTGAAAAACAAAAGTTCATTATCCTAATAGTCGTATATTTCTGAACATATTCTCTAAACAGTATTTTTCATGTATTTAGCAATATTTTATTCAAAAAGGCAACAGAAAATTGCCATACAGTAATTAAAACCTAAGCCATTGGTACTATGACGCTCAGTTTGATCAATAAAAGTGCGAGCTAATAACATGCCACTGTTGTTGCTATAATTATAATTATTACTTTCCATTTGAAAGCCTTTGTGTACGATAATTTCCGATGTTAGAAAAATATGAAAATTCCTGACACTCCCTACAGTGTACGATCAGACTCACAAGATTTGCATGCAAATTTTTTTTGTAATTTTTCTTCACCTGAATTCACCTAAAGCCAGTTTCTGTTTTAAGCCTTTAACAGAGTAAACAACAGTTGAAAGTCTCTGAGACAAGTTTAATAAGAGAAATTGCATTTTGGACCAAATGAATGAACGATGAGTTTAAAATATTAACTGACTCAATTAATTACTTTGCTTAAATGTTGCTAAAGAAGTGAATGCTAAAGCTAAAAGAAAGCAGATCACTACCTTAAAACTAAAAGGAGCTAAACACAGTCAAAAAGGCACAAAATATCTAACTAAAAGCTAAAGAATATATGATGACAGTGAACAGTTAAAAGTAAAAACTAGCAGAATGGGAGGTATAACCTAAAAGTAAATATGAGTACGGATGTAAATTAGCCTATCTGCATCAAATGTTTTTACATTTATGTTTTTTATTGCACACTGCCTTGATTAAATAATTAAAGAAAATAATATGCTGAAGCAGATTTCAAAGAGAAACAAGCTTGTGAAAGAATTGCGGAGATTTTCATGTATTTCTGTGGAGTAAACATTTCAGAATAAAGGTAAAAATATTTGGATTTATGGACTATAAAGAAAAGCGTATGAAGGTTAGAATTTTTATATTTATTTTTTCTTTATTTAACCTTTATTTCAACAGGCAAAACATTAAGAACAGTGTCTTATTTACAATGTTTAAAATAAAGCTATAGAACCCATCACTCAAATGAGCTGAACACATAGAAAACTTTCTTTACCTGTTTTTTTTACATGCAGAATTGCAAAGCAGCTGGTGCCCATATGTCCAGCTGTCACTGAGTAACAGGTAGCATACACCTGGACCGGTCTCAAGTCTATGAGCGAGACAAATACATGAAACAAACTGGACAAACAACCATTCACACTCCCATACACACTTAAAAACATTTTAGTTATCAGTTAACCTGTTATGCATACTTTTGGTCTGTGGGAGGAAATCTGAGAACCAGAAGGAAAAAAACAAAACAAAACACACACACACACACACACACACACACACACACATTTTAGTTATCAATTAACCTGACATTCATACTTTTGGTCTGTGGGAGGAAACCGGAGTACCCGGAGAAAACCCACGCATGCACGGAGAGAACATGCAAACTCTACCCAGAAAGGTCCCCAGACTGGGATTTGAACCAGTGACCTTCTTGCTGAGAGGCATCAGCTCTACCAACTGAGCCACCGTGCAAATTCCTCTAAC